CACGACAAACAGAAGATAACCATTCAATGGGTATTTTATTAACAGTATTGACCTATAACACAGGGCGTAATAAGCACGACAAACAGAAGATAACCATTCAATGGGTATTTTATTAACAGCATTGAGCTATGACACACAGGGCGTAATAAGCACGACAAACAGAAGATAACCATTCAATGGGTATTTTATTAACAGCATTGAGCTATGACACACAGGGCGTAATAAACACGACAAACAGAAGATAACCATTCAACGGGTATTTTATTAACAGTATTGAGCTATGACACACAGGGCGTAATAAACGTGGTAAATAGAAGACAACCCACGTTTTGTTGACTTCTAATTGAAACAAGCGTTGACCGATTTAATGTATTTTTCACTAGAATTAGAAACGACAACAAGAAACACGTGTGGAATTGCAAGCGTTGGTTAAACATATAACATACATATATATATACCAACACTGGTCAACACTGACCTGCACTTGGAAGGTTACTACCAGCTCGGGACTGGGACTGAGACAAAGGTTCTGGAGGGTTGCTGGAACCAGCCGTGGCCGCCGCGAAGGCCGCTGCTGCCGAAGACTTACTGGATCTTAAAGAAAGAACATATATATATATATATATGTATGTGTTTAAAACCAAAAACATATGGACAGCACTCTCGCAGCTGTTCAATATAAGTTTGTCTAAATTAGCATAAGTTTGTCTAAATTAGCATAAGTTTGTCTAAATTAGCATAAGTTTGTCTAAATTAGCATAAGTTTGTCTAAATTAGCATCTGAATTCCTTGGGTTCGGGTTCCTGACTGCAAATTGTACATGGAGAGTTCCATGATGGTGGGTTTCATTTAAGGGTTTCAGCTCGTAAAGCCGCTGATAATAGCCATGAATTCGAGAAACAAAAACTGGGGCTATGGACATTGAAACTGGGGTAAAGAGAAAAAAAAACACCATGTGGAGCAAGGAACCTCAAAACTTAGTTGTGCTAGTTTGAGCTTGACGACAACTTGGAGAGTGCTTTAAATAGGACTGTATCGTCCCAGCAAACACGTCAGCATGTTGTAGCTGGTTTGGACTTAGACAGGACGGTATCGTCCCAGCTATGATGTTGGCATGTTGTAGTTGGTTTGAGAGAAAAAAATCAGACTCTCAGGGCTCAAACAGTTGTGCAAAAAACCTGAAAAGTAAACTTAACATGTTACAAGTTTAAGCCTTCTTTTTCTGAAGTAAGGGTTAATCTGAATGCTTGTTCTACGCCTACATTTACAGGACTGCTATGCCCCAGAAAGTTTACTAAGTAAGGGGAAAAAAAAAGAGCTATACATGACAGAAAACTTATTTACGGAACCTGGACTGATGGACGGGCCGTTTTTCGAACATTGTACCTGCGAGTTGAAGCCCGCGACGAGGTAACCACCACACCAGCTTTACTGCTGTGTTGAGGCGAGTCGGGATACTGAAAGCTGCTTCTCGGTGTCGAGAGTATAGTAGATTCTGTCTGGAAACTGCTTCTCGGTGTCGAGAGAATAGTAGAGTCCGTCTGAAAGCTGGTCCTCGGTGTCGAGAGTATAGTAGAGTCCGTCTGAAAGCTGCTCCGTGGAGTTGTTGAAGGACTGCCACTTTCTGTCTCACAACTACTTCGTTTACCTACAGCTGGTACGGAAATAAGTTACAATACAGATACAGCCTCTAAAAATATTCTAATTTGTTACATATTATCTGAGAACTACTGTGTAGAAGCAGAAACTACGTCATAGTGTGAAACAGGTGTT